GAATTTAGGGTTACGGTAGCGTGCATCTTTTAGTGTAGTGTGGTGCGTCGAGCTTTTGCACCACGAAAATTGGGTCGCTCGTGATTTTTACGCGTTTTACCTTGCAAGATGGGTTGGAGTTGACTGTATGTGCTCCTAATAAATAAAATGTAATAAAGGAGAGCAGAATCATTCATGGGCACGAGCGCGGTCAGCGATTCCGATTAATGCCCGCCGCCCCAACAAAGAACAACTGAGCGGCTCTCCGTCAGAGGGCATCTAGCAAGTGGGCGGTCCAACTGGGCGGGCGTTAGAACTAGAACTTTCAGCGGCTGTAGCTCGCTCCTCGCTCGCTGTGGAGTCGCGAGAGTGGGACAGTCTCTAGCTTGGGGCTGTACTACTTGCACAAGGAAGGACGACCATGTACTACTCGAGCGCGGGGGCTGTCTTTAAATAAGGTTTAAAGGTGATCAGGTATAGAAGTTGAAAGTATGGCGTCGGTAGGGTAGTGTGGTCCGCGGCGAATCTTATCGGGAGATCAGCTGTGCGGATGAGGGGGTATCGTAGGCGATGGTGTTCAGTGGCACGCTCAAAATAGGATTGAAATGAGATTCTATCTAGAGCTATTGGCATGTTTTTTCTGCTTTTTTTCTTCACTATCGAGTTACTCAGCACTTTGTCGTCTATGTGCTAGTTCCTAATCCACTATCTGCGATGATCGCGAGTTTCGCCTTTGATAGTAACGTCAGACAACATGGATAGCCATGGTTAGCCAGCGGAAGGTGTTGGACGATGAACTCCGGTCTGATGACGGGATCGTGAAAGATGACGGAAGAACCTAACTTAGCACGGTCGGCCCTTTTATAGCAAGTGGGTGTATTCCCGTTTGGTGATTTTCAAATACTGGAGATCATCATAGCTGAGGCGACAACAGTTAGGGCACGTCGTATGGACGCTGGAACTCTTCACCGGAGAGTCGTTTCGGTCTTTGGAGCGAGGGGGTTGTATATAACCAGAGTTTTTTTGATAGTCGATTGTTCTTGGATTTCCGCGCTATCGCATCGTTGAAAGACTCCCCATTGGTGGCAATCGGAGGGGTTTGTATTTGTTCGGGAAACTTTCTCCGTGCGCAGAGACACTTTCCGTTGTGCTGTTTTTCGCGAGGTTTTTCCCGCCATCACATGCTAAAAGTAAACTGAACCTCCGCGCATGTTCCCGCGAAAAATTTTCAAGACGCCTGAAAATAATTCTGGGAAAGTGGATAGGGAGAAGAGGGACGGCCGTACCAGAGCAGTGAGCAGAGTTCTGGGGGCGGCCGTATTACGCTAGAATTTTCCCTAGCGGCATACGTGCCCTGACTACGATTCACACTAGTGATTGCTGCGGTTTTTGCTACAGCAAGTAAATGCACGAAAGGTTGAGCAGTAGCAGTCACTGATTTTACACGAAATAAATATTCAAAAAGCGCATTCATCTTCAACCTGAAAATTAAACAATCATGAAAAAATTTCCAACTAGTATGTTTCAGAGCCTTGTTGGGAAACGAGAACGAGTGGATTTCGCCAATACTGTCATCAAGTATGACCGAAGATTCAAGGTGAGCCTACTACATAGTTTTGAGTCCGCAAGCATTTCTCAACTCCGCAGTAACGGAGACGTGTGGCCAGGGGTGGTGGGCCTCAAGGTGTTTCAGCAGCGGAACCGCGCTAAACACACACCGCAACACTGCTCATTTGCACTTGCTATCGGCCAAGTGACCTCTTGCAATGAATTCTGCAATTTCCAGCCTTTGGGTATCTTGACATGGCACAGCCTCAATCACTTTGTATGACATTTGTGTTGAACAGATTTCGTACCCATTCCAAGACTAATTGGAGAAACCGGGCCATTAGATCCGAGCCTCAAGAAGACGCAAAGAGCAGTTTGACGTATGCGACTCACGCAGCTGGTTGACTCAGTTGACTCCTGTAGAACATTCAACATAACATAAAATGTGGTCTTGGTGCGGATGCCGCATACGCAACATCCTTTTGACGCGGCGCCATTGCAACAGTTGCAACATGGATTTCCTGACCACACCTCTAAGGACACTAAGGATGCTGTGTTTTCGGTTCTGTCTTAAATTCCTATTCTAGACCTCAAAGCTGACATGCTTCTCACCGGCTAAACATCTACTTAAATGACGTCGAGAAGTCGAAGAATAAAGCCGATAAGGGTCAGCTGATTGAGGTTGTCAAGAGGTGAGTTCGCATGACGTTCACGAAATACGGTAGAAATATCGACTATTTTAAGGCAGATCGATATCGGCCACATACTCTCGATAGGTCTTTCACCCTACCAGGACGACTTTTGTCGTCATCATTAATGTGCGCGATAACTAATAACCATCGTTGATAGAGACGCCATTCAAGACGGAGTTTATCACCTCGTTGAGGTACTGTACACTACCGTAGTTTTCTTTTTGGATTAATCCTTAGCTGGAATGATTTGCATCATGGTTGTCTTTTGCAGCAAACACTTCAAAGAGCGAACTCGTGGTGGAATACTCCAGTTGGAATTCGCCACCAGCCATACAATCGTTTTGAAGAAGACCCGATTTGGTGGCGGTACAAGGACCGTTCAGTTCCATTTGTCTGGTAGTAGCGCGCTCAATGCGAACTGAAGCCGACCGGCAAAGTACTGAACGTGACCATTGGGAAGGGATTAGCCAACACTACACGTGAGTATTCAAAAGTCGATAAAAAGGAAAGATCACTTCGCAAGTATGTTTGATACTCTCTGGCAGTGATAGCTTAATGGAAGGCTTTTAGGCCCATCCATGGAAAGGCCGAGCACCGGCTACCAACGGCGAGTTGATCGCCTTCGAACATCGACACGAAAAACGAATCGGACGGCTCCTCCTGTCCAGGCTGTTCAGCAGATGAACCTTTCCCACGGAAATAACCGAACGAAGTGAGGAATTAATTCAAAAAATTCCTTGATATATTGTCGCTGAGTGGCTGAACTTCGCTGTCGTGGCGGAGGCAAGCCATTTACGCTGGCTGTCTCCAATAGCCGTTAAAGCCCACATTGAACCACTTTAGCAAATGCCCTCTTCTCTTTTCTTCCCCAGTTTAGCCGACCACCTCTATCCACTGTCAAACTTATCCAGCTGGTGTTCTGGTTCATGCAGAGAGCCCCAAAACATTCCATGCAGAAAATGGCCATAAAGTCCTCCAGGGGGTAAGCACAAGCACAAGGGTAACAGGGTAAGTTAGTTGTGCTGTTAGTGTCTATACTAGAACAGGGTGAAAGTGTCTCAAGCTCAACTTTTCCAGACTAACCTGTCCTTAGCACAGCTGACATTCTAAGCCAATATAGTGTGATTTGCATTTGAATTTGTTGGTGCTACTGGCTGATGCGTGAAAAAAAAACAGGCGTAGGCACCGCTGACTAATCCCCTCAGAAGAGGGACTTCTTTTGCAGTCGATTCTGAGCGCTGGACAAGAAAGCGCGAGGGGTAGAGACCCTGGGAGCGTGGTCGAGAGCCCAGATACGAAATATAAGAGGACACAAAGGCGAGCTGGGTGATAGACACCCACCCACCCACTCGCCAATTGCTCCCACTTCTGGGAAGGGCAGCTACAGTTGAAGGAAGTCACCTCGTCATGTGACGACCTCAGCGCCCTCGCTATTCCTTCCCTGGCCGCGGCAGCGGTGCAAATGAGTAACTTCATAGAAGCCCAGTGTTTCGTGAAGCCGATTACACGCCCCAAACCGTTTCCAAGGGATATTATTGTCACTGGACCTACGTTCATATGCAAGTATGGCGGAGGTGAGGCAGTACAAATGTCTTTGCTACCGCACCTACGGATCTCGCCGAAAGACCGATTTGGATCCTCTCTGAAAGTTTAAAATTCAATAAAATAAAGCCTTGTATGCCCTCTGAGATGGAGAGTTTTCACCCCTGCCAGAGATCCCTGGGAGAGAAAAGTATTGAATCACCAGAGGCTCCACGCTAGTTCTCAATTGGTGCCTCCAAACAGTTACAGGGACAGTTAAAATCATGGCTTGGGTCAGCACGAGGCGGAATGGCAATTATTTCAAATAAAAATATCCACGAAAAACATCCTACACCATGTTCAAATGAAGTGCGCAGCTACATTCCCCCGTCCCCCCAAACGCCCCAAACGCCCCTGCCCCAGGTCTAGTATACGGAGTGTATAAATGGGACTTCAGAAAATGTTCTCACTGAAGATGAACAGTAAGGTTCTTCTATAATTCAATGAAAATCTGTTCAGCTTCCTGCGTCAGTAGTTGATCGACGACCATCGGCGCAAAGCGGCCAAAGTCAAGTTTCCAACGGTGAGAAGGCGTCGAACAACTCTTTATTTAATCAGTCGACGACAACAAGCGCCAGTTCTGGAGGTGAGACACAGTTTCGGAAATCACCTTTTAATGCTCTCCTTTCGTGATTCACCCAATCCAACCTTCAGTCTGCAATTATGTTTTATCTTATGACTTCAGGAAACCCAACTCGTTACGGCGGCGTTCCGACAGCCTTCGTTCCGAATGCCCAAGTGGAGCTCAGAGCGGTAAGTTAAGCAGTACATGCACTGGCATGAAGCAGTGCCCTTTGGCAGCTTGAAGACACATTTTGTCACACTTTTCATGTGAATGAAGCTGGACCTACTATCCTTTCCTCTCCATTACCGCTTTTCAAAACGGTTAAGAGGAGGTAAGCAGCAGGGAGAAGAGCAGTGAAGAGTGGTAGGTCCGGCTCCACCCATACGATCAACCTGGAATGTGGCTCCAAGAGCGACAACATTATACAGAACCTTCTGAACCACGGTTTGAAGGCGGGATTCCCAGAAGAGCACAATATTGAATTTTTCCACGAGATATAAAATTAAGGCAGAGGTCAAATGACACTTAAGGAGAACATGAACACGCTCACAAGCGTTTATACCAATTCGCTGACAAGTCACCGGAGGAGTTGTCCGAATCTTCACATTCATTGACCTGAGTCCATTGATCCTTCACAAGTTTGGGAGATTTCGTAAACTCTATGACCGATTTGTTTATCCTGTTTACTGATATATGATTCAAAGCAATGAAATGCCTTGTTCACACATCCCTGGACATGGTCTAAGAGAAGGGCGGGTCTCTAAGACATTCTGCGATGCAATTTTAGCCGTAGAACTTCCATACCAACGGACTGACCTCCAGCCGAAGGCTCGACGAATTCTTAGGCAGAACTCACCTACATGAATTTTGGATGAATCACCTAGATAGTTTTTGGATGATTACTGTCTTCAAACAGTTTATGATGGTTAAATTATCATGCTTTGATTCCGGTTTCCGAAAGACAAAGGTTGATTCGGAACGGAATCTGTTCGTTCTTGACTTACTCCTGCTTACTCAGCTTCGTTATAGGCGTTAAGCTCCCGACAATTTTCGCATTATTCGAAAGTATTCCCACGTGTTGACGTATCTAAAGAAGTAGGAAAGGCGGACGTAAGTGGTCATGGTCCACTTTGGTGACCCAGAAG